ACAAATCATATTTCTTTTATTCCATATTTTCCATAATATATTTGGCCTTTTCTCTAAAAAATTATAGAAATCTAGGAAGAATCAATACGGATAATCTATTCTTCTCATTTGACTATTCTGATTAATCCATGGTCAAAAAGGGTAAAATTTATTATTTATTCATAAGGAGAAAATTCTGATTGCCCGTCATTCTTGAAGAGATATCAGTTAGTCAGCCAATAAAGCTCGATCCATTTTTGGTTTTCAATTATATTCAGTATATAAAAATTAGTTCAATTCAAAATAATTATTCCGGGTCCGAGGATACAAATAAAGGAAATAATAAAGGTAAAAAATTAGTCATGTAAATATGACATAATCGATTAATAGTAGTGTTGTTAAAGTAACTTGTTACCGGTAACTAGTTTTATATGTTACATTGGAAAAAATAATGCTAAACTAACTTTCAAAAATATGAATAAATTTTTATAATATAACGACAAAAGTAACTATCTATGGGTCATTCCATGTCAAATCAATCACTTTTCGGCCGACCCCTTTCGATTTCGATAAAAATTCGTAGGCTGGTTATATATGTTCCCATTAGATTATAAACAAAATTTTAGCGCATTAGAAACTATATTAGCGGAGATATTCGGGGTTAAAGGTCCAAAAAACGTCTTTTTTTGCTTTTTACTGATATTAAATAATTAGTTTTTAATTTAAAACTAAATATGATCAAATATTGAATCTAATATCAATAGCTAAGTTAATAATTTATAATTATGGCTAAAACATCAAAATTGATTTTTGATAAAATATGGGTCATCTTATGGTCAGTTGAAAACTTGAAATTAATATTTCGAAATGTATATGATCTCCGATTTTTAATTTTTTTAAGAAATATTATCCGTTTACTATTTTTTTAATAATTTCTTCAACAATTAGCATGGCTGGATATTTATTTAAAAAAATATTGCGATTTTTATACTTTTAAAAAATAGATGGCGCTATATATAATAGTTTTAATATGTTAAAATTCATTTTTTTTATTGATTAAAAATATTTTAATGTATATATATCATACTAAATCGATTACAATGTGCATTATATATATTTATTTGTAATTCAGATCATAAATTTTTAAAATCTTCACAAATTTTACCTAATTAAGATAGTTTATAAATTAATTAAATCTTACTTTATCTAAAGGAATACAAAGCCTGGCTAGCTTGTGAGATTCTTCAGGAGATAATATATATGTTCGACTGGTGGGAGTAGAAGGATTGACCAGCGAGAGAATATGAGATTTAGGCAACACTAAAATATTATCTTTCAAAGGAAATTTAAATGAGGCTGAAGGTCCACAAGGGTGTAAAAATCGGATTTTTACTTCTTCATTTGTATAAATTTTATCGATTATATATCCTAACCACCATTTATCATCATATACACATGTTATATATCCATTAATATTTTAAAATATAATTTTCTCATTTAAAAACGGAACTTGTTTTATATTATATTTTTTGGAATTAGAATATATTTTGGTTTTTAGTTTATTTTGATCAATGGGAATAATCCCGTGAATTTTTTGGGTCCCATGTATGGGCAGTGCAGAATTAAATCTTTTACGAAGGGCTAATTCCTCTTCGATATATTCTTGATTGGATACATATTCAAATTGAATATTAATATTTTCTTTAGCATAATTATATAATTCTAATGGGGTTAGGATTTGATTTTTATTTGGCCTTTGAAGACTAGCTCTGGCAACTAATCTTTTGACAGTTCCTCCGATACCGTCACATGCATTTTTGCCGTGAGCAGTGACAAAGAAATGCCATTCGGCAGGAATATTAAAATCGTATTTATGAAGGCATATGTTCAGAAAATTTTTGCGATTCTTGTATTGAGACGCGGCTTCATCCGAAAAATATATTATTTTTTCTGGTTTAGAATTAAATTTGGCTGTTAAGAATTTAATGAATTTTTTTTGATAAAGGTGGACTGCACTAGTATTATGGCTTAATGATTCGGACAAAATAACAAAATTTATATTTTTTAATTCTTCTCCAGATTTATAATATGCTACAAATGGATGTATAGTGGCCTGCACATTGTTCCAATGAAATCCCTGAACTTCATCTTGTAAAATAAGGGAATAATTTTCAGAATAATCTAGAATTGTTAAAAATTCCTCATCTTTTAAATTTTCTTTGGAATTCTTCAAAAATAAACTTTGTGTTTAGCTATAAACGAGTGAATTCGATGAAACCATCAATGGACTTTATAATAGTTTCAAGATTTGCTCTATCCACCGTGATCCATTGTTTAAACGTGACATATTCTAAACGATTTCTCTGAAACAATTCGTATAATTGGCCCATAAGAGATTCTATACAAGGGCATTGATCACAATTTGTTAAATAACATTTTGGCTGAGATGGATTACAAATAATTTGCGCCAAAAGATTGTTATAAGAATTTATACAGTAATCTTCTCCTGCTGTAATTTCAGCTATTACATTTGTCATTAATTTCACATTCTGATGAATGGCGCAGACACAAACAGTGTGTGTGCCATCCAACTAAAATTCAGTTTTTTGGTCTAAGTTCGGCAAATTTAGGGAATCCAATTGATATACTTGGGTATTCTTCCTTAAACATCTTGAATATTTCTTTAAGATTATTTAATATAAATCTTTGCTGATTCTTTCTCGCCTTTAACAGATACACAATCTTTTATTCCAGGCATGAGTCGGCTTATTTCATCAGAACTATAATTTTGTTATTTTTATTGCTTAAAAAAATTTTCAAAATCTTTGAAATTATCTTTATCTCTGGTTATTTTAATAATGTAAGATAATGACAATTTCATAACATTATTGGTCTTGATGAGTATGATTTAGTCTGGGGGGGGGGGAGGGTTGGGGGTAGGCCTAATAATTAATGTGATTTTCGATTTTTCCCTTAATAATTTTCCTGCACCCCTTTAATCCTGCTTTTTTGTTCGTGTGCTAGTCCGATTTTTTAATTATTTTAATTTACATTGAAATATTAAAAAAATTATTAAAATTTTTTATCCTGCGAATATCTCAGGGGAATAAGGTTTACAAAGTTATATGATCGAATTTTAGGATATATTATACATTAAAATATTTATAATCAATAAAAAAAATGAATTTTAACATATTAAAACTATTATATATAGCGCCATCTATTTTTTTTAAAGTATAAAAATCGCAATATTTTTTTAAATAAATATCCAGCCATGCTAATTGTTAAAGAAATTATTAAAAAAATAGTAAACGGATAATATTTCTTAAAAAAATTAAAAATCGGAGATCATATACATTTCGAAATATTAATTTCAAATTTTCAACTGACCATAAGATGACCCATATTTAAAAAAAAATTATTTTTGATGTTTTCGCCATAATTATCAATTATTAACTTAGCTATTGATATTAGATTCAATATTTGATCATAATTAGTTTTAAATTAAAAATTAATTATTTAACATCAGTAAAAAGGAAAAAAAGGCGTTTTTTGGACCTTTAACCCCGATTATCTCCGCTAATATAGTTGCTAATGCGCTAAAATTTTGTTTATAATCTAATGAAAACATATATAACCAGTCTACAACTTTTTATCAAAATTGAAAGGGGTCGGCCGAAAATCTTGATTTTTTTGCTCATTTGACATGGAATGACCCCTATGTGTTCATATATAACTCATTCATTATCTTTATAGGATGATTTCCCCTTAAAATAACTGTTATCAAATATAATATCTCACTTGTTTGATTATTCTAGGGAAACTTATTTTAGAAGAATACTTTTACAATTTGAAAATATTTTAGTATTTAAGTCAAATTAATATATAGCGCCAAATTTTGGCTTTTTATAAATTTTTTCGTTAGAAGTAAATATTATATTGAGATATTTTTCCCAAATAAATATTACACTTTTTCAAGTGCTACTATTTTTTATTTATAATTTTCATTTATATCAGCTTCATTAAAATTTCCAAATCCGGAAATTATTTTGTTTAATAACAAAAATTATATAGAATGATGAGTTATATAAATAATTTATAAAGTAACTTGGAATGTAGTAGTTACTTTTGAAATATAATAACTAAAAATATAACTAGTGACTGTAAATAGTTATTTTTTTAGGAATGCAACTTACAACTTCAATTAGTTACTATTAAAAAGTAACTTTTAACAATACTAATTATAAATTCTTTAACCATATATAAAAACAAAAATTATATTAAAAATGAGGAGTTAAATAAATAATTTTTAAGGTAACTTGGAATATAGATAGTTATTTTTGAAATATTATTGTAACTAAAAATTTAACTAGTTGCTGTTAATAGTTACCTAAAGAATTATTAATTCTTTTAACGGCATTGTACACTTAATAAAAAACACTAATATTCATTCCATTAACTTCAATTAGTTACTATTGAAAAGTAACTTTTAACAATACTAATTATAAATTCTTTAACCATATATAAAAACAAAAATTATATTAAAAATGAGGAGTTAAATAAATAATTTTTAAGGTAACTTGGAATGTAGATAGTTATTTTTGATATTATTGTAACTAAAAATTTAACTAGTTGCTGTTAATAGTTACCTAATAAGTAGAATTATTAATTCTTTTAACGGCATTGTACACTTAATAAAAAACACTAATATTCACTCCATTATTGGAAAAGAAAAAAATTAGAACCTTACACAATAGCTGCTTATAGAAGGTCTGCCCCAACTATATAGATTTTGTTAGAAAAACGATTTTGAAGATTAAAATGTATTTTATCATCACAGAGAGCAAATTATCTATAGAGCTATATGGATACCTTGTTTTTTTTGAATAAATTATTGAACCATGAACCTTCATTAAAGTTTTTGAACCAGTAACCAAACTATATAAAATTTTAATCCTAACCGATAAAATTCAACACTCAAGTGAAAGCACATCATATTATAAAAAAAATTTCAAATAAACCCCAGCAAGAAATTATCGGGTTTGATATCAGTATGGAGTATATGACATTCGTGATGAAGATAGTTTAGCATGCACAAAATTTCGCAAGCAAAATATAGGATGAGTGTGTCTGGCATAGTCTTTCCTTTGGATTTGTAGGAATTTATAAGCTTTTGTTTTGCAAAATAATAATTTATAAGTTTTACATTTATTTATTGATTTATCGAACAATCAATCTAATCAATATTTCAAATATGGGAACAATTTTTGCAGCTAAAAATAAAAATCAACCTAATCATAAAAAATAATGTACAACTTGTCTAAGCATAGCGATTTGAATAAAGGTTCAATTTAACACAATGTTAATATATGAGTATTTAGGGCTCCTATAAGAAATTTCATTTCAAACTTTCAAAAGCGTCCCGTTTGGGAACAATTCCATCTGCAAAACGCTGATGTCGGAGTAGATAAATGCCGCGAATACTTTAGGAAAGAATCGTAGGCTATCTTTTAGGCAATCGATATCACTTCCGTCGTGTATATTTAATCCATTATCATCTTACCAAAATGTTTTTTTTAAATAAATATATTATATGAAATCTGGTTGGCATGTCGGTCAAATACGATCAATTGACTGGCGGTCAAATATGGTCAAATACTCTAAAATATTATAGGCGAATAAATATTTTGATAAATTAACTAGTATGCATTAAAAGCATGTTTATCAATTTTATTAAGTTACAATTTATTTAAAAATATATTTGTATCATAAAGGAATCGAAAACGAAAGAATTTTTTTTATTACTAAAATAAATATAATAATTTAGCTAAGTCATGGTTTATTTTTTAATAAGTCAAACAAGCATCAAGTTTGGAAACATTTTCAGGAAGTACGCGATGATAAATCAGTTAGAGCGGTATGTGGGTTTTGCAAGATGTCCACGTTGATAGAATAATCAAGCATTTATTAAGCAGCTGTACTATGTGCCCTGCGATTAATGAAAAATTTTATTCAAATTCCAAAATATCAACCTCTACAAAAAATCACATAAATGTAATTTGTATTACTTCTGGCTCTAACAAAGAATTGGGTGAAATTTGTGAGAATGATTATCAAATTGGCAATATTTTGTCGTGACTCAAGAAAATTTGATTCTATTTTCTCTGATCAATCTACAAGCAAGGTTATTAAATGCAAATCTCGATCTTGTATAACCGGTTTCATAGATAGAATGAATTCCAAAGATAAAAAATGAGCTCGATCATTTGTTTGCAAAGACTGTATATGCGAGCAAATTACCTTTCCACATCACAGAAAATCCCTACATACAAGAATTCTTTAAAAAAATACGTCATATTTACACTTTACCCAGACGAAGGCAGCTGGCTGGATATCTTCTAGACAAAGCGTCAGGAGATATGGAGGCGAGAGTTGCAGATATAATAGATAAAGCTCCTCACTTATCAATTGTATCAGATGGCTGAGCAACATAAACGAGAGTATTATTAATTTTATGGTGATGACACTATTCCAGTATTCTACAAATTTTTAAATACTGAGAAAAATCGTCATACGAGGAATTTATGTAATTCATGAATTGAATCCGATAAATGTATATTCTTTAGTTATTGATAATGCCGCTAACTTGAAAGCAGCCTGGAGAATTCTAAAATCTGAATCTATTTATAATCATATACAATGTTATGGTCGTGCAGCGCATACATTGCATTCTTTCACGATTTTGAACGACTTCAGTTACAATATTTCAATAATTATAAAAAATTGTTAAATTTTACAAGAATAAACACATAGCTGCAGTATTTTCCCGTAATAAGAATCAACATGGTATACCATCTACATTAAGTACAATTAGCCAAACAAGATGGGCATCGTCAATAAATTGTATGGAGCGAATACAAATATGTAAGAAAGCTCTGAAAGCATCAGTTGTTGAAGAAGCTGTATGTGATATTTGTCCTATAGAAATTGCAAATAATATATAAAATGAAGAAATATTTTGGAAGAAAAATTTAAAATTTTTAGATATACTCCAACCTTTAGCTACCTCATTGTTGAAAGTGCAAGGGGATAAGTGTACTTTAGCTCACGTAAAAAGCGAGATGCTTAATTTGGAAAAACACATAATACAATCATGCCATGATTCTATATTTTATCCATCTGAAGAAAAAATATTTAAAGTTATGTTTGAAAAGAGAAAAATGATTCAAATACATGTGCTCACAATGCTGCTTATTTAATGGGCCCCAATATCAAGGGGAGCATCTTACTAGTACTGAATTTGACGAAGCATGTGATATAATACAAGAAATAGGTATTTTACAAGGTGGTGATAATCAAATATTTTAAGTGATATAATAAATTTCAAAAGTAAAAGCGGCATATTTAATAGCCAAAATATTTGGAAAGTGGTACTTCCATAAAAAACAATCAGATTTCGGCCTCAAGTTAGTGGAATGCACTTTGTCCACCTTGCCCATTAATAGAAGTAGCTAATATTTTACTAAAATTTCCTAGTTTAACTTTTTCTCCAGAAAGAAATTGGTCGGTTTAAAGAAATATTCATACGAAAAACAGAAATCGATTGAAGACTTCCACAACAGTAAAATTAGTAAGAGTATACATTAATTTAAGATTGTTTAAAAATAATAAAGAAAATAATAATATTGAATATGAATCGGAACATGACTCTGCTACGGAGGGCGAAACAACTAGGAATAAATTAAAAAAAATATTATGAAACTAGGAATAAAAAAATATTATGAAATTTAATATTATAATATTATATAATACAAAATAAAGTTAATAATGGCGTATAAAAAACATTTATTTGAATTTGACCATATTTGACCGGTCAAATGCACAACGAAATCTATTTGGCTAATCATGTAGGTGTGAAAAAAGTAATAAAAAATCATTTTCTAAAAAAAATGGAGAAAAATGGAAGAAAGGAAAAAAAGGGAATGGAAATGAAGGTAAAAGAAAAGGAGTAAGAAAGTATAGTTTGAAGAAGAAAAAAAAATTAAATTATTTTAAAAAAACATTTAAGTAATCTGTTCCTGATCTCTCTGTAAATATAAAATTCCCAATCGGTGTCAGCCGGGCATTGAATTTTAACGGCAAAATTTCCTAAAAGTTCGGATTGCATGCTCCCATTAAATTTGCTCGTTTGGTCAAATATACTAAACTTGTGATTACTAAGTAGCAAAGGGAATTGGTACAGGGAATTCATATCGATATTATGAGGGATTGATACCTTTTTTTCGTTATTTTTATTGTTTTTAGGATGTGAATGGTCAGACGAATCGATGAAAGATTTAAAGGGATCATGACTAGATAAATGGATGAGGTAAAAGTGGCATGGAGCTTCGAACACTTTGGCAAAAGCACCTTCTCCTAATTTATAGAATTTGATTATAAAATAGAACTTCACATTTGGTAAGAAAACAATGTAGCTTTTTTTTTCATTATTTTTGTTACTTCATTCTTTCTTTCCTTCTTACACTTATATAAAAAAAAATTTATGATGGAATTTAATAATATTAGGCACAATTCTACCTAATAGCTTTCGCAAACTGAATTCCATGCCGAATCCTTCTTTCTTGACATTCTCAGGAGAACATTCTTCGATAAAGGAAAATGGAAGTTTTACGTTTAACAGTAAACCCGACTTAATATTCTGCAATTGAAACCCTAGGCATGCTTCTCTGAAGTCATAATAGCCTTTCGTTAGCTTTAGTGGTTCATTAATATAAGTCTTTTCACTCAAACCAAGACTCATTTTCTTATTTTGGGAGATATTTGCGGAAGATTTATTATTATGGAAATAAAAACCATTAGGTGGCGAATTAATGTAAGTTTGGGCATTGGATGGATTACTCAAATCGCGTAATAATGCCATTTTGTGGGTCTTTTCAAATGGGTCCATGTCTATCAATGTGAAATTAGTGACGTTTGACACGTGATTGGGTTTGGAACGATTGTTGATTTTAAGGACATTTTTGATTGGAAATTTTTGGTTTTCCTTTAAATCACTATTTCGGGGGGAATTCAACCTTTTATCATCAAAATCAGGTGAAAAATTTGGATGGATTTCATGGAAAGATGACAATTTGACTCTCTTGTAGTGGGGGTGACCTTTACCCCTATCTTTAATATAAGAATTTAACGAATTTTGGGGAAAATTTCTGATGAATAAATCATAGGTTTGCAGGTCAAAACTGACATTGATAGTTAAGTTGTCGGATAATTTCTGATCTTTAAGAGGATTATATGGAAGTGGTGATCGAAGTTTAGATGACTGATAATGCTTTGGATAGACAATATCCATTGAGTTTTTACTGTAATCATTTGGTGAGGCTTGAATATTAAATTTTTTTTTATTATTATAACTTATAAAAAATTCTATTTCTGTAACTAAAACCCTTGTTTATGTTATAAATTCCTCAATGTGTAACTACAGAATAAACTTTGTTCAAGGATTTTCACATATTTATGAGAGTTATTTAGGCTAACTCACTTGGGCTATATGGAAAAGGTTAAAATAAAATTGCAATGCAACAATTTCCCAGGGTAAATAGCCCAGAAAATATTTTAGGTGGGCTATGCCTGTGGAATCTACCCACTAGCCCTGATATTTCCGATAATTATATTTGTGATAATTGCTCTAAAGATTACACCATTTCGGATGACGGTATTCCTAGTGATACCAAAAAGCTGATGTAAGTCTCGGAACTGTTGACGAGTCTAGAGCCAACTCACTAACTAACCATGATAGCATGCATTTCTATCACCGATGGCGGAGCAGTCATTAAAATATAGTAGGAATAGAAGGAAGGTAAGATGAAATGAGAGTGGAACGAGCGTAGGAGGTATGGTTTTAATATTTTGATTATTTTTTATTTTGCTAAAAAAAATTTAAGAGGTTGGGTAGAAAAAAATTCAGAGTATTTATGTCATTCAGTAAAAAGAGCGAATATTAGATACACACTAATCATCCTGAATGAGCATATTTCATTTAGGAAGAAATTTTTTTATAATGTTTTATTGTTAACCTTAAGACCTATTTTTTTGAAAAACATAATTTATATTAATTTATAACAATATAAAAAAATTAGGATTTGTGAGTTAAATTTGACATTTACTATCTAACCCCAATGGACTTGCCACCTTACCCAGGGTTGGTAAAAAACACAACTTTTACTTAATTCTATATAACCCCCATAGTATAAAAGGAAGAGTATCGGCATTTCTAATTTTATAGAAAAGCTTCCAAAAAAAATCTAAATTTTTGGAAACACACTGTGCACTATATTTTTAGTCACGCTTTTTTTTAAATTGTATCCCCTCAATATACAGCCCTGGTTATGAATATATTTTTACCAATTTTTAAAAGTTCAAAAGTCAATTTTATTAAATAGGTTTATGTATATTTTTACCCATTAGCTTCAAAAAAGTTTAAAAATAATGATTATGACAATTGTCACACTACTTTAGTCCATCTTCACTGAAATCTTATTAATATGTTTACAATATATATTGTCACCCATTTGCGTCAAATTCAAAAAAGTTAAAATTATAATAATTGTCACTTTCTATAATGCACCTTCTGACTATAAATATTTTTACCCATTACTTTAAAAAATATCAAAAAGTTAAAATTATAGTAATTGTCACTTATAATTAGGGCTGTGCCGATCCACATATTTTTTACCGATCCGATTCGATCCGATATTTTCCGATATTGGTTCAAAACCGATCCGATACCGATCCGATATTTATATTAATTTTTTACCACCCCTCTTTGAACCAAATGTAATTAATAAATCAATATTTTTTATGCATAAAAGAATTATGCATAATTTAATTTTTTTATTTCAACAATAATTTTAAAAAAAATATATAATAATATATCCATTTTATGTTGGTTTATAAAATTGTAATATTTAATATATAAAATTATAATATATTAGATTTTTTTTAATAAATATAAGAGCCTCTAGATTTTCAGGCAATAGGCTTCTACGATGAGGACTATCAATATCCCCTGCCGTACTGAAGGCAGACTCAGATGGGACACTTGTTGCTGGAGGAGCCAAAAATTTACGTGCAAGTGTTGATAAAGTTGGAAATTTTACAGCATTAACTCTCCAATATTCAAGTGGATTCACTGGGGATATAATATTAATATCATCAATGTTATTCGAGTTTTCTAAATAAATAACACAAATATAAAATTAGCATTTATAAAATAGTGGGTTTCATACAAACCCAATCTTTTGTTGATTTTGAAAAATCACCCAAACAAATGGGTCAATCATAGCCCAACCAAGCAATATTTAAATTAATATGAAAAATATATTGTCATACTTTCTATATATGGTGTTATTTTTTTAAAAAATTAAAAATAAATAAAACTTTGGGTGTTCCTTTCTATTTTTATAAAAAAACTTGTAAAATCTATTTAAAAAAATAAATAACATTTGCATTGTTTAAAAAAAAATTATTTATAAAATATTATTAATGTAAAATAGAAACTCGAAAAAATTTATTTTTTTTTAAAATATTTTAAAAAAATTTTTTTTATTAAAAAATAATAATTCAAAGTTTCATTACTCAAAAGTTTTATAAGAATTGCATTTTTAGTAAAAGAATCGGATCGGGTTTTTTACAGGTATCGGGCCGATCCGATATTTTTGAAAAACGCCAAATATCGGGACCGATCCGATCCGATATTTAATATCGGCACAGCCCTACTTATAATGCACCTTCTGACTATAACTATTTTTACCCATTAATTTTAAAAAAATAAAAAAGTTAAAAATAACGATTACGATAATTGTCTTACTTTTATGATTCATATCATGGAAATTATAAGTTAACAACATACGTTTACAATATCTGTTAGGCTATTCACACCATCATAGACAACATCAACAACAAATGCAATGTCATTTTAAACATATGGTATTTAGATGATGGTACAGTTGCAGGACCCATACGATGAATTAATTAAAATTCCATCTATCATTTCTGATCTCACTCCCACTACTGGGCTTTCCCACAATCATAAAAAATGCGAATTTTATATGACCAACAATTTTTATCCCATTCCTGTTAACTTTTCTATAATTGAGAAATCAAATTTTACTCATTTAGGCTCACCTATTGGAGGCCAGAGCAGCTCCAAATTTACCGAAGACTTCCTAATTAAATTTGACCGACTTCACAAAATCTTATGATTTTTACCATCTCATCATTCATTCTTTTTCCTGAAGAATTTCCTTCCAAAAATATTGCATGCCTTTCGTCTGCTCCTCTTTTCCAATTCCCATACATGCTACTAGAAAGTTAAAATCTCCCTTGAATCAATACTCAACCTCAAATTCTCGCCCATTTGCTGGATGCAAGCCACTCTTCCATGTAAACTTGGGGATATAGGCTTTCAATCCTCGGCCTCACTGAATTGCAGCTTTTCTCTCATCATTTACCAAAAGTCAAATAATTACTAAAATGTTTACCACCTCTACAGACCCCCATCTGGGGTTGGCACAAGACCTATGGAAGTCGAACGCTCCTAATGCTTCCTTTCCTTTATCCTCCAGACAACAAGATTGGGACTTACCTTTAATCCAGCATTCCGTTGAATACCTTTACTCGAACGCTGTTCTGAAGGACATTTCCTTGATCTATAACCCAGATATCCCCTCCCCAATAAATCAAAGTATTGATCCCCCCCCCCCTCCATTAAATAAAAGTAGTAATTCTCCATCATCATTTTAACATTTCAACACGGGATATGAATGGCTTGAGGCTATCCCTAGTTCCAACCTTGGTTTGCTTCTTTCCAACGAAGAACTTGGGAATAGGTCCTCGTTTGCTGTATCGTCACACCCTCATCTTGCAAACAGTGTCAGCTCCTTATCACAGTTTAGGCCATCACACTCTTCACTGCCGTTTCTCTAGGCCGCTATCCACTCCACAAGGAATAAATTCAATTATTGCTAGAACTCTCCGTTCAGCTAATATTCCATCAACTTTGGAACCTTTAGATCTTAATCTCGGGGACAATATCATATCTGACGGAATGACTCTTATCCCATGGAGCAGAGGAATCCCACTAGCCTGTGATTATACATGCGTTGATCGCTTTACACCATCCTTTTTCTCTAATTCCTTAGTTAGAGCGGAAATTAGAAAGATCAATAAATACATTACCATTCCCAATATTACTCTAACCCCGATTGTTTCCTGACACAATCGGTGCTTTTGGACCTATAGCATTGGAATTTTTCAAGGCACTCACCAAAGATGCTCTTAATTTCGGGTGACCCTCAGGAAGGTTTTTACCTACGCCAACGAATCTCAATAGATATTTGTAGGTCGCATAGTATATCAATCCATGGTGCCATAAACTAGATGCACCTCCTCCTCATGTTCTTTCTCTTTTTTAAATTACATTACAGTATTTTATTACCTTTTTTTTATAAATAATATAGATTTTTATATTTCTATAAAGCTTATCCTTTTATTGTAAATTGTATAGTTTTTAAATCGGAATTTTATTCAATTATAAATATGTATATTTCATAAAAAAAAATATGTATATACCCATTTGTATCAAAAAATTCAAAAAAGTTTATGAATAACTATTATGATAATTGCCACTTTTCTATGATATATCTTTATTGAAATCTCAATTTACTAAATATATATTTATACGCATTTTGCGTCAAAAAAATTAAATATAAGTTTAAAAATAACGATTGTGATAATTGTCATACTTTTCTTATTCATGTTCACTGAAATTTTAATTTAACAATGTTTACATATATATATATATATATATATATATATTGTTAGCCATCGTTCACGAATGCGTTCATCTTGAAGGCGTTCTTGAACGAAGTTCTTTTTTTGAAAAAAATGATGAACGGTGTTCCTTTTATTTTTGACGAACTTTGAACGTGATCGCGTTCCTTTTTTTTGACGAACGCGTTCGAATTTAAAGTTCGTTCACTTTAAAAACATTTTTTATTTTTATTTATTTGAAATTTTTTAATCAGATATTTTTCTTTTTTCATATTTCAATTTTTTTTAACTTATAAAGAGCTAAATTCTTTTAAATTAAATTTTCCTTTACTATAACTTTTTCATATCTTTAATCAAAACAAAATAAAATTCTTTTAAATGTCACCTGGATCTTTATAAAATCTTCTTGAATTCAAGTTAGTAAATGGAGAACAATTTCACAGGAGTTACAAATTGCATTCCTTAATATAAATGGAATGAAAATCAAACAAGTGGTTCTTTTAAGGTTAGAAGTGGTGAAAGTAGACATTATAGGTAATCAAGAAACC